CACGTTTCTCACACACGTGATACGCGGTGCTTTATGTGGTTTGAAAAAAGAATTACCAACTTTTTTTCCCAATAATTTGACATATTGCGGATTATTAAGTTACTTTCCTATCTTCCCATTGACGAATGCTAATATATATATATATATATATATATTTGGGATGCTGCAGACGAAGGCATATACTAGAATGATGCTTATGACAATATTTTTTCGGTCTGTCCTATGTGAGCTTGCCGGGAAGTTTTGCAGAAATAGAAGCATTCTTGCCTTTGCTCATTTGGCTGAAATTATTTTGTGGAGTTAGTTTGTTAGAAATTGAGTTGGCAAGTTCAGTCGTCGAATCTATCATGGTTGGTTAGACTCTACCAAGATTTTTTTATTTTATTTTTATTTTAATGGTGGCTGAATTTTTCTCTCACTGTATAGCAACGACAGTTGTATTTGACATATATCATAGGGAAGATTTTGAATGGGATGGATATGCACTGCCTTGACCTCCCAAATTAGTAATATTTTTATTTCTTGTTTTGTGTTTTTATTTTGAAAATTTTAAAAAATAAATTGGTGGAGTTGCTTTGTATTTTGATAACTTATGCCTTTTCTTAAGCAATTCTAGAAACTAAAAAATTAAAAAAAAAAATTTGTGAAAATTATACACAAAAACATATTTCGTAAAAGTGTGGTTCACGTCGTATTAATTTTAAATTTACATTCTATATATTGTTAAACAATGTGACTTGTGAAACATGAAACAAAAATGAAAGAAAGATTGACAATCTTTTAAAAAATTTATACAAAATTTTGTACAACACTAGTTGTCAATGTTTTAAAAATTGGATTGGTGAGTAAATTGAAAAAGGAATTGGGTGAACGGGTCGTTGGTTTAACCGTCGGGTTGAACTGGAATCGAACCTTGATGTCATAAATATATTAAAATTATATTTAAATAAAAATATAAGTAATGAAATTATAAATTTTAAAAAAATTGAAAATATTAAATTATCTTAAATATTTCTCCTAATATTTTTTTTCTTCAAAAATATAATAATATATTTTAAAATATTATTAATTTTAACTTTGGAATAGGAAATCAAATATTTAATATTCCCTCCATATGATTTTAATTCAAATAATTTGATTGAAAGAAGAGTAAAATTTTTGAAGGGATGTCAAAATTTTAAGTCTCCCTTCAATAAATTTGATTGAATCCCATATGGATTTCTTAAGTTTTTATGAAAGAATTTTTTTTTTATTTATAAATAGGTAAAGTCTTTTACAATAATTTCAAGCTTTGTAGGATTCCTTACCAGAGGGGGCCTTTGAAAAGAGAAAATATTTAAAAGAGAGTTTTTAATTAAAATTTTCTTACATATAAAATAAGAAAGAAAGAAAAGAAAGAATAAAAAAATAGTTAAAAATTATCAAAAAAAAGTTTAAAATTTTTAATTTTATCAATCTGGCCGGTTCACCTAACCATCCCCGGGTCGATCGGTTCCGCCGTCCAACCGCCAATTTTTTCAATTCTCTCTAAATAGGCCAGTTTTTAGATTAGAACAGTTTTGAGGATATATTCGGATCGAAACCCCAACTGGTTGATAGCTCAACCAGTCAAATCGGCCAGGCTGGACCGGTCCGGTTTGATTTTTAAAACCTTGCTGGCTATTGTAATTAAATGATATTTTAATTTTTTAAACTGATTAAAGTTCTTTTTTATTTATTTATTGCATGATGTTAGTCAAATTATTTTATATAAAGTACCTGCATGGCACACTAAAGCTGTGTTCTGATTTCAAGTGCCCGACAAATATGTGCTATTTACCATCAATTTTTATTGTCATTTAAATTTTTATTTTTATTTTTAAAATTTTTATGTAAAAATGTAATAGGTTGTTATATTTTTGCTACCATTATGTCACTACTTAATTAGATGTTTATAAGATAAAAAAAGAACAAATATCATAAATAATGAGATATAATTAAAGAATTCATGAGTCATAACTAAAATAATATCATAACTAAATAATAAAATTGATCATAATTAAATAAAGGCAGTGGCTTTGGTCTAGTCCAAGATCGGACTGGACCGTGCTGCTAGGCCCATGGGGGCCACCACGGGTCCCGTTTTGATAATTCGAACCGTTCAATGTGTAGAACTTGTCGAGTACTATATACCTGTAAAAAATCACGTTGATCGGATATCGATAGCTATGTGAACAAAGCAGTTTTTTATCAACCGTTAATTGTTTCACCGTCCATTTTTTTTAATACAAAACTGATTTGATCACATAATTATTGATATCCGATCAACGTGATTTTTTACAAGCAAATAGTACTCGACGATTTCTACACATTGAACGGTTTGGATTATCAAAACGGGCCCCAAAAATGGGCCCCAAGGGCTGAACTGGATGGGTCCAGTCTTGATCTCAACTTGAGACAAGCTGGACCCTTAAATAAAAAATGACATAATTACGGATACATATGATACATTCTTTTTAAAAGAAGGTATATTAGAATTTCGCTAAGTTCGTAGTTTAAGTTATTTGACTTTTTAATCTCATCTTAATTTTACCTTTTCAATAGATTTTATAAGATTATGACTTATCTTAAAAAAAACAAAACAAAACAAAACAAAACAAAACACTTTAAATGATTAACTAGTTGGCAAATATATTTTTAAACTTTTATTTTCAACTCACACATATAATATAATTATGAAAGATATTTGAGATAAAAAGGTTGCTATTATCACCTATCTAATTTCGTTGAACCCCTAATTTTCTCTTTTTTATTTTATTTTATTACAATTATATCATGAAGTAAAATTATATTAAAAGACAATTTTTAATGGAACACTCACCCACTAAATAAAAATAAATCTGCAATATTGTACACTTACCTCCACACCTAAATGTATTCCTCACCCCACTTAAACCTAACGTGTTGCTCTTCATTACCATCCTTAAATCCAACGTTCCTCTTTATTACCACCCTAAACCCTAAATATATTCCTTTTCATCACAATCTAAAACCTTGAACCATAAATTAGTGGCTAAACTAGAATGGATGTCTATTATTTTGTTTATTATATTGAATTGGAATGGAAAAAAATGAATTGAGGGTTAAGTTGCACAGTACTGAGAAATGGTGAAAAATTTGTTTATATTTGGTAGGGGTGAGCATGGTCCGGATTGGACCGGATTAGGGTAAAATCAGGACCAATCCGTTATCTACGGTTCTTGAAAAATTGGAACCAATCCAATCCGTTTAAATCCTAGAACCAATCCGAACCAATCCATTTAAATACGGATTGGATCGGTTTAGGACCACGGATTCACATAATTAAATAACAAAATATATATATATATATATATAACACTTTAATTTCATAAAAATATAAACATAGAGCTATATTAGTTCCACAATAGCAACATGTCTTTCTATAATAGCGACATACTATTCTAGAATTTAAACAACCATAAGAAAATTGGTTTCACCATAAGTATTTAGGCCATTACAAATTAAAATTAAAAACTAACAAACAAAAGTAATAAAAGGAGATATTATGCAGGTTTAGGTTTGAGTTTATGTTTTATATGGAATAAGAGAAGATGTTATGGGAGAAGATGTATAATAAAAATATAGACTATTTGTATACGGTCCGGATCGGTTCCAATCTGAAACCGTGGGGTTCAATCCGGAACCAATCCGTGGATTACGGATTTTTAATTCTTTAATCCGGAACCGAACCATGGATTCAAAAAACCAATCTAAACCTATCGGATTTGACTGGACTGGATCGGATTACGGATTTTACGGATTCCTTGCTCAACCCTAATATTTGGCAATATAGTGCTGAACAAATAACTTTTGCTCGTCAATACAGTGCTAACAAAATTGTTTATATTCGACAACACAATGCTGAACCAACCTTTGGGCAATTGATCGATCGGACGATTGATCGAATGATCGAGTGGTTGACCGATGGTGTGATTTTAGCTTAGTTTACAACAATGATGCAATGGTGCAATGATTTTGATAAAATGGATACCGTCGTTCACTAATTTTGAATAAATCAAAAAGAGAGATCATCGTCGTCGTTGTTCTTCAACATAATAGGGATCGTCGTCGTTCTTCTTTAACAGGAGATGAAAGAATAGAGACTGTCTTCAACCATAACGGAGAATGTATGTAAAATTAGGTAGATGTACACTTGAGTGTGATGATATTATAAATATGGATAAATTTGATATTAAGTGAGGTGTTAAAAGAAATCTTATTTTAGAGTAAAAGTTCAAAGAAGTTGGAATCCAAAGAATTAAGATAGATACTAATAGTAACTCTCTCAAGATAAACCATAAATTTTGATATTATAAACAATTTTTCCTATACATCCGAACTTACCCATTACATATAATTAATGGGTGATTGCATTTATTTAGTGGTTAATTTAATGTGACTCTGTATAAATTTTATACTAGCTAAATTTTTTTTCTTCCCACAATCAACCACTTTAGCTCTCTTTTTTCTTTAAGAATGTAAATTTTTTTTATAATATTTATTAAAAGTGACTAAAGTGGTGTTTGACAAGTTGGTTTGTGATTAAAATAGTCACAAAAGACAAAATAGATTATTTTAATCACAACAAATAAAACATCACATCTAACCCATAATCATTACACTATTCTCTAAAAAAAAATAAAATTAAAAAGTCTTTTTCAAACCAAACTTTTTAACCCAGATTAAAATAAAAAAAAAAAACTAAAAAGTCAAAAAGCCAACCTACTTACCAAACAGAGGCTAAAATATCAAATAAAATATATTTCAATTTTTTAGTTTTATTTAAAAAAAAAAACAATAAAAATCCCGAGTTCAACCAATTATATAACAACTCTCCCTCCAAATTTAAAACGCCAGTCAACTCCTCCCCACAGATCTTCATAATCCTCCACTCGTCTTCGATTTCATTTCATTACAATTACAAACCAAGCAAGCAAGCAAAGCATCTATTCTCATTCTCTCTCTCTCTCTCTCTCTCTCTCTGTCTCTCTCTCTATATATATTACACCTGCTGCTATCCTACGCAGTACGCACTCTCCTCTGCAACTCCTTCTCCTTCTCCTTCTCCTCTGCAACTCCCCTAAAACCCTAACCCTAACTCTCTCCCCTCTCCAATGGCGCCCATCGACCCACACTCATTCACCGACTCATCACACCCACTGGCCACCCACATCTCCCTCTCTCTCTTCTTCGACTTCTCATCTTCCACCATCCATTCCTCCGCTCTCCTCTCTCTCCCCACCCCCCACTCCGGCCCCATCTCTCTCGACACCCGCTCTCTCTCCATCACCTCCGTCTTCGACCCCCTCACCAAAACCCCTCTCCCCTTCTCTCTCTCCTCTCCCTCAGACCCCATCAAAGGCCAATCCCTCACAATTTCTCTCTCTAACCACTCCAAATTCGCCATCATCTTCACCACCTCTCCCTCCAGCTCCGCCCTCCAATGGCTCTCTCCGCCGCAGACCTTCAATAAATCGCTTCCCTTCGTGTACACTCAATGCCAATCGATTCACGCTCGATCTGTGTTCCCTTGTCAAGACACCCCAGCCGCGAGGATCTGCTATTCGGCTCGGCTGAACCTCCCGCGCCAGCTCTTTTCCGTGATGTCGGCGCGCCATGTTGAGCGAAGGGCGCCGGGGGCCGGAGAGGCGGCGATGGCGTGTGATGATTCGATGTGGTGTGCGGAAGGGAGGATGGTGGAGGAGTTTGTGATGGAGCAGCCGATTCCGCCGTATCTGTTTGCTTTTGCGGTGGGGGAGATAGGGTTCCGGGAGGTGGGCCCGAGGACTAGGGTTTATGCGGAGGCGGTGCCGGCGGTGTTAGATGCTGCGGCGAGGGAGTTTTCGGGGACGGAGGATATGATTAGGGTTGGGGAGGGGTTGTTTGGGCCGTATGAGTGGGAGAGATTCGATTTGCTGGTGTTGCCGCCGAGCTTTCCTTATGGTGGGATGGAGAATCCGAGGATGGTGTTCTTGACTCCGACGGTGATTAAGGGGGATGCTAGTGGAGCTCAAGTGGTGGCTCATGAGCTTGCTCATAGCTGGACTGGGAATTTGATTACTAACAAGACCAATGATCACTTTTGGTTGAATGAGGTAAGAAAATTTCCATTGAATATGTCTCCTTTTTTACGTTTATTGGGCATTTCATATGAAAATATGTGATGAGAATTGAATTGGATTGTGCTTTTATTTTGAATTGGAGTGTTCTTTTGTTTGGTAGTCCTGATAAATTGAATGTTTATTGCTTTATCATTCATAGTGTTAAATTGTATGTCTGGCAAGGATAATGTTTTGTTTAGCACCCATTGAATTCATATGTTCTGCAGGGGTATGGGTTTTGCTTGGTACATGTGGTGTTCGTACATATTGCTTTACTTCTAAAAACAACATTCACTTATCAAAAAATAAAAGAGGAAAAACATTTAACGATGGAAACCATCACAGTTGACACAGCCATCACTTAAGAAAAAATGGAAGCACCTAACAATTGGGAGTGCTTCACAGAAATTTCGACTATAGACATGGAGATTATGATGTTGTCAATTTTTCATTGTGAAGGCCTTGCTTTGAACTATAGCTTCTTGCCTTTAGCATAGTTGTCAAATTAGAATTTATGGCGTTGTACCGAATCGCGAATAAAATCTGTATGAACACGGAAAATACACGTACTTGATGATGAAGAAATCCAATGAAGAAAATGATCAAATTTGCCATGCAATCACCATATATGAGATAAAGCTCCCTTAGCAGTTGAACGGTTGGGCGTCCTCTGACACCTAAGGTAGTCCTCCATTGTTACCAAAATATTTAATGGACAAATTCAAAAAGAAATAGCATACCTCAATTCATGGGGGTGTCCTTTATGTATAATATGCAGTGACTTGCCTAACAAGTAGTTTGAGTGTTCCAGAAGTTCTATCCCAAACAATCTCAAATTGTTTAGCACTTCTATATCGATAAGATTTCATTTCTTGATGAATTTTACATAATATAAAATACCAGTGTAGTTTTTGATGAGAATTTAACAACTACCCTACACGTGATAATTCATATATGCCACATGGTAGTGGTGGGACCCACAATTCCTGTGGTTATTTTTATTCCCTCTTGATTGCCCCTAAGCTTTCATTCTCTTTAAGGCTTGGGAAAGCATGGAAGCTTTCAATTTGTTGTTATGATAAAAATAGCCATCTAATATTGCCTGGCTATGCATGGTATATGGGTGCTAGGGTTTATTTCAATAATGTCTAATTTTGTTAGGACTTATTCCAAGAATGCCTAACTTTTTTAGGACTTATTCCGAACTACCTATCATTGCCAAGACTTATTCGAAAGAATGCCTACCATTCTTAGAACTTAGTTCAATAATGCCTAGACTCACTAGGTCTTATTCCATGATCCTAACTTTTTATCAAGGGGCAAAGCAATTTATTTTGCCAATGGCAAAGCAAGTCGTCTTGCTTCGATGCAGAGCAAATCATCTTGCCTAGGGACAAAGCAAGTCATCTTGCCTAGGGGCAAGACAAATCATCTTGCCCGGGGCAGAGCAAGTCATCTTGCCAAAGGGCAGAGCAAGTCATCATGCCCAGAGGCAGAACGAGTCATCTAGTCGAGGGTAGAGCAAGTTCTCTTGCCCAGCAAAGAGATAAAAATTATTTAACTAGGGGGTAGCAACATCACTTGCCCCCTGGACCATGCTCCAATTGTACGGGAACGATCTCTGCAGTTGGACAAATCACCAACATTTCACTGAGCAAAATCAGCTCAGCAAAGAGATTAAAATTATTTAACCAGAGGGTAACAACATCACTTGCCCCCTAGACCCTGCTCCTGGCTGCCCGATCAAGCTTGTCTTTAAATTGAACAAGTCATCAATTTTGCCACCAAGCAAATTCCGCTTGGCTAAGAGACTTAAAGTTTAACCAAGAGGTAGTGCAATTCATCTTGCCCCCGTGATCCATGAAGCGCGGACTCTATCTTAGTCCGGTTGCATATTTGATCAAAATAATTGTCTCCATCTAAGTTTGGTGGCATATCTGATCAAAATAACGGTCTCCATCCACGTTCGGTATAAAAATTCATGCTCCTCAGATTATAAAAATCCGATATAATAATTGATCTTCCATATCTTCGTGGTCGGAATAATAGTGCATAAAATCTATGCTTCGCAAATAAAAATCCGATATAATAGTTGATAATAATATCTCCAAGTTCAATGTATAAAATCCATACTTCATAGATAACAAAAGTCCAGCACAATACATAATAAAATATCTTCATGTGCGGAGTAACAATGCATAAAATCCATGCTCCGCAGATAATAAAAATCCGATGTAATAACTGATAATAATACCTCCATGTGATAATAAAAATCCAAGATAATAACTAACAACAATACCTCCATGTCCAAAATAATAATGCCTCAACTATGATGCTCTAAAATTACAAATTCATGCTGTGGGTTTTATCCAACCCAATAATAATTTCCATACAGGTCTGGTGTTCAAAAATGTGTGCCAACATGTAGCACTACAATGGTACATTTCTTGAGCAGGGTCACTTGATATTGAGTTGGGTCTTGATGTATAAGGGATATGGAGGCCAAAAATCGCAATGGGATGCCACATGGTGTTGCGTAAATCCATCACTAGTCAACACGAGTGAGTGACCGAGCAGCGTGAGTGAGCGGAGGACCGAGCTGCATGATAGGCTTACTATTTGCCCCAAGCTTTGCTACATCATTATGAAGAAAGTCAAAGACCCAATTGGGGGTCCTAGAACAGTGCCACTTTTAAGCATTTTCCTTGCAAAGCTTTAACCCATGGTATGCCATGCAAAAGGAAAGATTCCCGAATAGAGAGCTGAAGTATTCTTATAACCCTACTCACTTAAGATAATGCACCAAACAGAGCTTCCAATATTAAATTTATAAAAGTTTTTGTAGTGCTAGATTCAAATAGGCATGATAATAGGTTGGCCTACGGTAAGCCTATAATGCTTAGGAAGTTTCTCATGATGGCACTATTAAGCGATGAATAAATAATTTACAATAAAAATGTTATGCCTTGCAAGCAATTGATGAATTTATATTGTCGTGATCCATAGAGAATATTTTTCCAACAATCAAATATAGTTTTCCAATAGAGAGTTTATCTCGCTAATGTGTTTGTGCCATCGTCTTCTTCATTGAGATTAGTCGTTCCCACAAACGGCACCAATTATACGGACATAGAAAAATCATGTACTTGATGATGAAGAAATCCAACAAAGAAGATGATCAGATCCGCCACGCAATCGCCATCTACAAGATAAAGCTCCCCGAGTTGTTGACCGACCGGGGGTCCTTCGACAGCAAGTTAATCCTCCAATATTATCAAAATATTTAATGAACAAATTCATAGAGAGAAATAGCGTACCTCAACTCATAGGGGTGTCGTCTATTTATAATATCCAGAGACTTACCTAGCAAGTAATTTGAGTGTTTCAGAAGTCCTATCCAAACAATCTCAAGTTGTTTAGGACTTTTATATCGATAAGATTTCATCTTTTGATGAGTTTTACATAATATAAAACACTAATGTAGTGTTTGATGAGAATTTAACAACTTTCATACTCGTAACAATTCATATGCCATGTGGCAGTGTCGGGACTCACATAATTCTTGTGGTTATTTTTATTCTCTTTCATAATAGAATCGTGAATTGTAAAGATTCGGTCACTTTCTTTAAATTACTTAGGGGGGGAAAAAAACATTTACACACTTACATGTTGAATGTATCATGTGAATATGAAATATTTAGACTTAAAATCAATAAAAATAATGTTTTGAATGGTGATCATGTGGTCTAATAGGTAAGAAGTTAACACAGGTTCCATATAATATCACTATCGTACTTTTTTTTTTCTTCCTTTTTTTAGATATTTCTTATTAGCTATTCTTAATGAAGAAAGTAAATAAAGACAAACTATTAAATTCCAAGTAATAATAACTTAACAATGGTGTTGATATTTGGACAATAAACATACACAAAGAATTAATTGAAGCCTAAAATACTTTAAAAGGTATGCAAGCTTATTGTTCAAAAAATTAAAAAAAATTGTGGAGCCATTAGATTTAACTGACCTAGCCCATGTAATATTGAACTATATTTAAATCAATAAAATAGTAATAGATAATTCACGGTGCAAAGTACTTTAACCTTAAATATCTTTAGAAGATATATTATGATTTTTGTTAACGAGAAAAAAAATGAGATAAAAAGGGTTTAAAACATGTTGAGTTTGATTTAATATGATTGGATCATATTAAATATTCTCTAATTATCAAAATAATAGCAAATCATGTATATATATTAGTTATTTTTGTACTAAACGCTATTAAAAATATTATATCATTTTCACTAAAATGAGGGGAAAAAATAAAAAATATTGCAGACAGATAGTTTAAAAAATTTCATGAATTGTAAAAGTGAATCAAGATTCAAATCATAAATCAATTGTGAATTATATTATTCACAATTGATTCACTTCCAAAATATTTTTCAGTATTTTTACAATACACTGGAGCCATTTCAACTTTCATGAATATTTATTTTTTGCCTTAAATAAACAAACACATATTTTTGTAGATTACGGTAGTTTTTGGTAGAGTTTTAGAATTATGATTTGAGAATAGAGTTGTATTTTGAGTTTATGAGTTTTGGAATTATAATTTGAAAAGAGAAAATTTGTTTGGTTATGAGTTTTGAATTTTTGATGTGACATATGAAATGAGAGAAGTTTGGTTATGAGTTTTGAAAAGAGTTTTTAAAACTTAATTGAAAAACTTATAACTCATGACCAAACACACAATTCAAAACTTTATTGAAAATTCTATTCAAAACTTATAACCAAACTCTTTTTAAAATTCAATTCAAAAAAATAATTTGTCATTTTGGTCTAGAAAAATAATTTCTATATTTAAAAAATATCAAAAACAAATATATATTTATTTTTCCAAATAACAGGTGGTGACTGGCATAAAAAAAAATTATTGTTCCGGTCAACCGGCCAGACATCCGGGAGGATGTCCGGGCGGATAACCGGGTAGACTAAAAATTCAAAAATTGTCTGCTTTACCAAACACATTTTCAAAATGCATTTTGAAATTGATTTGGAATCATGATTTGAAAACTCAAACCAAACATAGCATTAGAATGTAAGGGTGTCATTAATTTTAGAAAACTCTACCAAACATGGCCTACATTTCTTTCTGCCTAGCATCACTATGCTCTTACTTGATTATGTGTTTTCATGTAAAAAGTGTTTTAACTTGTCATGTATGGCATGGCTTAAATGGAAATGAACTAGGGTGAGTTCTAGGGAATAGCTAACTAAAATGAAGAAAATATGGGCAAAAAATACTCTGGTATGCAGATATGATTTGCTTACGGTTGCCATGTCGTAGTTAGAGACATTTGTCTTATTGTTCTTTGGGGTATTTGTTGTTGATTCCAGGGTTTTACGACTTATGCGGAGCGGAGAATTGTTGAGGCTGTGCAAGGGGAAGATAGAGCTGCATTGAATATTGGAATTGGTTGGAGGGGTTTGGTAGAGGAAATGGAGAGATTCAAGGACAATATGGAGTTCACAAAGCTCAAAACAAATCAGGAAGGAGTGGATCCTGATGATGTGTATTCTCAAGTTCCATATGAGAAAGGCTTCCAGTTTTTATGGCGGATTGAACGACAGGTATGTTGGTTTTATTACAGTTTGAACTCAAAAGAGGTTTTTCGGTGGAGAAAGACCTGATTTGTTTTTTCGTTTATGGTCAGATTGGAAGGCCTGCATTTGATGATTTCCTGAAGAAATATATTGCCACCTTCAAGTTCCAATCCATTGACACTGATATGTTTCTCAATTTTCTTAAAGCCAATGTCCCTGGAATAGAGAATGAGATTGATTTGAAATTATGGACTGAGGGTACTGGTATCCCTCCAGATGCCATGGAGCCAGTTTCCAACATTTATACAAAGATTGTATCACTGGCAAATGAGTTCAAGCAAGGTAGGATGCCAAGGGAGGATGAAGTTGCTGATTGGCATGGACAGGAATGGGAGCTTTACTTGGAGAACTTGCCCAAGTCCGTTGAGGCTTCACAGGTAGTGTCATTGAGATCCAGAGCTAGTTATTGCTTCTCTTGACTTTGTCAAATTGTTTTTTTCCTCAGCTCTACGCTTACTTAACTAAATGTTAATCTATTTTTGACACATGAATTGTTGGGTTTTCTTATTTTCTCATGTTGTATCTCGTTTGGTAGTATGTTTCATACATTTTATGCATGCAAGTTATTCTTGTGTGCTAAGAAGCTTAAATACTTCTAAGAAAGGTGATGTGTCCGTATTGGGCACACATCCAAACATATCTTATTTTTAAAAAATATTAGATCTGGACATGCTTCGGACACTTGGAGGACATACATGTCCGTTGTTTAGATACACATGAACACATTACAAATCTGAACAAAATAGCTTGAGATAATTATCGTTGTGTATGTGTGGCTGAGGGTAGAGCGAGATAGTTATTGTTGTAATTAATACCTTCTTGGCTATTTCATCCCTGAAGCTGCTATTAATTCTGGATTATTTGAACTTTGAAACCCCCCACATTCAAACGAGTTATCCAAAAAGAACTGGATAATTTGGATTGTTGTGTGTGTAATGTGTGGCTGGGGGCAGTGCGGGATAATTATTTTTGTAATTAATACCTTGTTGGCTAGGGCCTTATTTCATCCCCTAAGGTACTATTAATTCTGGATTATTTGAACTTTGAAACCCCCCACATTTGAACTATTTTATCCAAAAATAGTTGGATAATTCGGATTGTGGTTATTTAATGCCGTAGCATTTGACCATATATTTTTTTTCTTTCTAGAATAGGTTTTTTATCCTCCACTTTCCGTAATCAAAGACAGTGTAAGCATTTAAGCATTGGGTGTTTGGTTTGGATTTCTGTTTCCTAGTTCAGATATATAACATGATGCCAAAGAAGATGTTTGCTAAATTGATATGCTATTACATATGTGATCGGTTTTGCAGCTCACAGCCTTGGATGCACACTATAGGCTAGCAGAATCAAAAGATTACGAGGTCAAGGTGGGATTTCTCCAACTGGCGATTTCATCCAAGTGCAGAGATTACTACAGTGAGGTGGAGAGAACTCTAAAGGAAGTTGGGAGGATGAAGTATCTTCGTCCACTATATTCTGCACTCGTGCAAGGCGTTGGAAAGGAAGAAGAGAAGGTCTTTGCAAAAAGGGTGTTCTCTGAGGCTCGAGACTGTTACCACCCCATAGCTCAAGGCGTTGTCGAGTCAATCTTCTCCAAGCATCTGTAAAATGTCATAAAATAAACTGAACTGATTGACTCCTGAATTGTTGATGAATCCATGACCATGCAGAATGTACCTGAATGATGCTGAACTACTGGCCTTTGGTGAATATCCTGCTGGGTGCTGTGTTAACATCGGTTCATTTTAATTTCTGGTAATGGAAATCTTTTTGCTAAAAATTGATATTTTTCTAATGTTTTATGTTCACTAATTGAAAAAATGCTTCCTCGTTCTTTGCAATCTTGTTAATTTCACTAAATGGTAATTGTACTGGTCCTCTTCGTAAATTATGTGCTTTTTCATTTGATTTTTGTTGTGGTTTGTGTTTTTGAAAATAAAACCAATGAAAAGTTTGGAAACAATTGTTTTCATATTATTAATAATATTTGTGGGAAAACGAATTTTGAAAAGTTTAGAAACTATATTATTTTTTTTTTAAAATAAAAAAAACTTTGCGAAGGTGAAAGATTAGGGAATGGATAACTTTTATTCCAATTGTGGTATCGGTTTTCACATTTGATGTATGATATTTTTTAAAGAGTAATGCTAGATATCTCAAAAATTTTATTAATTTTTTTGTCAAATATCTTATATGGGTGGGTGTGGAATTCACACAATGTGGGTTTCGAGTAAAACATTTGGTAGAACTTTTGGTATAATTTTTGAGACCACACTTGACCAATTTTCAATTAGTTCATTTATTTATATTAGGGTAAATTACAAACACATCCCTTGAGCTTTACTTAAATTATAAATTACTCTCTGTGGTTCTAGAAATTACATTATGCCCCCTAAGATTTATAATTTCATAATAAATATGTCATTTTATTAATAAATCATCAAGTTAATTAATAATTTTTAATAATATTAAAATTTTATTTCAATTAATAATTCAGATAATTTTATCATTGTATAGGCAAACAGTTCAAAATTTCACTTTTTCAATTAATTCTGTTAAATAAAAAATTCTGACGGGAAGGTATTTGTAATTTTTCAAACCGCAAGGGATAATTTATATTTTAAGCAAACTTGAGAGGGTGTATTTATAATTTACCCTTCATATTATTTTTAGTTTTATTCAGCATTACCACATTATTGCTATTGAATTATTACTATTATTGCTATTTACAATTCAATAGCAATAATAGAGGAAGATGGAAGTGTTAGAGGATCAGATAGGCCTAAATTAAAGTTGGCTAGCTTTGTAAATAGAGATATAGATATACTTAATTTGTCTAACGAAATGGCATTTGATAGAGTTGCGTGGAGAAGAATGATTCATGTAGCCGATCCCATTTGACAGGACTTAAAACTTGGTTTGGTTTGGTTTGATTGCTATGTACAATTCAAAGAAATTGGTAAAATATAGCATTAAATTAAAGAAAGTGGAAAATCACTTTATTTTCAAATGAAAGAGTGATTTATTTTATCTTTACCTCCATGAAAATTCTGGCAAATCTATTTGTTGTTGTCGGGAATAAGATTGTTTTGGAGTAAGGTGGCCAAGCTGCTCTTCAAATTTAACATAATTGCAGACATAAATTTTGTATTGCACTAGTTAAAAAGTTGTTTCAAATCGATATTTATTTATGTATGATATTATTATCATAAAATTTAATACATAAATTTAAATAATTAATTTCTTAATAAAATAAAAAAAATGTTTGGTTCATTGAAATAGGGAGAGTTTGATTTCGTTCAAATGACGTGGCTAGACGATTGTCTGGATGACCGGTGTCATCCTTGTTAAACGACAGGCACAAATTCAGACAATTCGGATGAACTCAAATTCAATGAATGTAGTATTATTGCTAATAAAATATTTGGGTTGTGGCTAGTGATGGAGGCATGAAATTAAATCAGGAGGGGCACTTATTAATTATAGTTCTTATTTTTTTTATTTTTTCATAACTAACAATGAGAAGATAATAATAATTTTTGAATTAATATTAAGCACAAAAAATTAAATAAATTTTTATTTTCAAATGAAAGAGTGATTTATTTTATCTTTACCTCCATGAAAATTCTGGCAAATCTATTTGTTGTTGTCGGGTATAAGATTGTTTTGGAGTAAGGTGGCCAAGCTGCTCTTCAAATTTAACATAATTGCAGACATAAATTTTGTATTGCAATAGTTAAAAAGTTGTTTCAAATCGATATTTATTTATGTATGATATTATTATCATAAAATTTAATAAATAAATTTAAATAATTAATTTCTTAATAAAATAAAAAAAAATGTTTGGTCCATTGAAATAGGGATGGTTAGATTTCGTTCAAATGACGTGGCTAGACGATTGTTTGGATGACCGGTGTCATCCTTGTTAATCGACAGGCACAAATTCAGACAATTCGGATGAACTCAAATTCAATGAATGTAGTATTATTGCTAATAAAATATTTGGGTTGTGGCTAGTGACGGAGGCATGAAATTAAATCAGGAGGGATACTTATTAATTGTAGTTTTTATTTTTTTTATTTTTTCGTAACTAACAATAAGAAGATAATAATAATTTTTGAATTAATATTAAGCACAAAAAATTAAATAAATTTTTACAAAAGTATTTCACATAAAGTTTTACAATTAGTTTCGAGTAAAATCGAAAAGAAAGTATTGAGTGTAATTAATGTATCATGGACAATGTAAAAAATTCATATTATTAAGTCGTAAAATAAATTATATAATGGTAAGATAAATCAAATTTTTACAAAATTTGAGTAAAAATTTCATATAATAGTGATATCACGTCATTATTGACATATGATATCATCAATCAATAGTAAAAACAACATATGAAGGGTGAACTCCACATGCAAATATAACTAGCATTCTAGTAATTTTTACATATATATATATATAGTGAGATTAATAATATTTGTATATCAATAATAATACATATTACTTTTATATTAAGATTTTTTCACAAAATTTTCATACATAAAAATATAATTTGTTGCAGTTACTTCATTTTCAATAAAACAATCACTATTGTTTTCATAAATTTAAAAATGCCCTTAATATTTTATTCTAAATATTATTTTTGTTTAAAATTTTATTTATATACATATGTTAAAAAAAAATGAAAAATCCAGTGGACACGTGACCCCCGACCCCCCCAGTCCCCATGTGACTTTGCCACCGGTTGTGGCTAAACAGACTAAAATTCAGATAAGTCGAACGAATTCAAATTCAATAAATGTAGTATTATTGCTAATAAAATATAGGAGTTGTGGCTAAACAGACTAGTTTCCCTGATTGTAGGGCTGAGCAAAGAATCCGTGAAATCCGTAATCCGATCCAGTCCAGTCCAATCCGATAGGTTTGGATTGATTTTTTGAATCCGCGGTTCGGTTCCGGATTGAAGAATTAAAAATCCGTAGTCCACGGATTGGTTCCGAATTGAACCCCACGGTTCCGGATTGGAACCGATCCGGACCGTATATAAATAGTCTATATTTTTATTATACATCCTCCTCCATAAATATCTTCTCTTATTCTATATAAAATCTAAACTCAAACCTAAAACCGTATAATATCTTATTTTATTACTTTTGTTTGTATTTTCTTATGGTTGTTTAAATTCAAGAACAATATGTCAGTATTATAAAAAAATATGTTGCTATTATGGAACTGATATAGCGCTATGTTTATATTTTTATGAAATTAAAGTGTTATATATATATATATATATATTTTATTTAATTATGTGAATCCGTGGTCTTAAACCAATCCAATCCGTATTTAAATGGATTGGTTCGGATTGGTTCCATGATTTAAACGGATTGGATTGGTTCCAATTTTTCAAGAACCGTAGATAACGAATTGGTCCTGGTTTTACCCCAATCCGGTCCAATCCGGACCATGCTCACCCCTACCTGATTGTATCAAGGGGTATTTTTTTTAAGGTCCCTGATATTATGATTTTATAGTATAAAGGACATCAAATATTTTCATGATGTCTAAGGTCCCTCAACATCAACCCAGAGAAATTTCAGTCCCAGAGAAAATTGGTCCAAAGAAAATTCAAGTTACAGAGAAAATTGGTCCAGAGAAATTCTAGGAAGAATTTCTCTGGACCAACCCAGAGAAAATTTAGTTCAAAAACCAGAGAATTTCTCTGGTTTTAACCCAGAGAAAATTCAGTTAAAAAACCAGAGAATTTATCTGGTTTCAACTTCAAATGAAACAAAATACTTAATTGATCCCAATTATTTAACTGAAACAAAATACTCATAACCTACCAGTTTTCAATATACAACAAATGGCATATTCATTCGATATATAAGATCATTCAATGCAGTTTATAGGTCAACAAAGAAAAATAATAATAAAAAAGAAATGACTGGCAGATTCATATCAAATCTCATAATCATTAGTTATCACTTCCATAATTACAAAGTAGCAAGTTTCTTAAAGGCCTATATTAGATATTGTTCCCTAAATTCTGAAGCCACATTTTTATGTTGACAGCCCCAAGTTTTTACCTTTGTAACAAGCAAAGGACTTCAGGTCCATCCAAAGCTCCATAGAATATTAATCACTGCAAAATTCATTATTAGTAGCACTTTGTCTAATCATATTTGAAAAAACTCATTGGTTCCTTCCAAAGATAGGACACTTGAGAAAGTTGAAAGTTCAATACACAACTCAGTCAACACTTAAATGATCACTTCCCTTCTTTTTGGGCAAAAAAAATGATTTTTTTATAATGTCTAAGGTCACTCAACCTTGATCCAGAGAAATTTCAGTCCAGAAAAAATTGGTCCAGAGAAATTCTTCAGAATTTCTCTGGTCCAATTATTCTCAAAATTTCTCTGGCCCAATTCTTCCTAGAATTTCTCAGCATTTCTCTAATGCATTGGCTGAATCCAGAGAAATTTTGAATTTCTCTAGTCCAATTCTTCTCAGAATTTGTCTGGCCCAATCCTTCATAGAATTTCTCTGATGCATTAACTGACTGTCCTGACCATATGCAATCACATGCTTTTATGGACATTAGGTAGTACTTTGTTCTCTTTACTATATCACTAAGAAAATTTCCAGATCTGTTGCTACTTTTAGCATACAAAATGCCCATGATTTTGTTTGGTATTCATTAGTAGTCTTTCTCTCTTGCAGTTTTTTTCCCTTGTCTTAAGTTTATGTCCCAATCCTTTGCACATTGTCAATTTCTCTGACTTTGTGTAATATATAAGCCAACAATACAATCTTTAAAACCAGAGAAATTCTCTCTAAACCAGACAGATTAGAGAAATTCTCTCTATTTGCAGCAGAGTTGTATTTTTATGAACAAACCTTGGTTATTGTACATTGATCTAGGAAATTTCTCTGACTTCACAAATTTCTCTAGCTCTATTCACAAAGAATTTCTTTGACTTTGTGTAATATGTAAGCCAACAATACAGTCTTTATTAACAAACCCACAAATTTCTTTGGTATAAAACCAGAGAAATTCTCTCAAAACCAGACAGATCAGAAAAATTCTCTGAATTGAAACTAGAGAAATTCTCTGGATTGGGTGTTGATGATTGATCTCAAACACCCTTCTTCCTCTTATGACTAACAAATTTATTGAGAATTACAGATGCACAAGGTTCAAACTGGTTCTTATATGCATATCTCAGTGACCATACATATCTGTTTGGTCAATCCAAACTAGAAATTTTCTCTAGATCACCCCAAAGAAATTTCAGTTCAAACCATAGAATTTCTCTGGACCAATCCTAAGTAAAAAGAAATGAATTGGCATTCATCACAAGAAAATTTTTCCTTTGCTAAAAATTCTTATGCAGTACCCACTTTGAAAAACACACTTCATTATCTATGCCCAAATGTCAGAGTATCGTGGATTTGTATATGCCTGATGAGTTCCATAGCGCTGAATCTCTTACGCTACGTTGGAGAAGATGATTGCGCATGCACACACAGTTAGTGAGAAAAGAATCTATGTACTAACATGTTTGGAAGGATAGAAAATGGAGAGACAAATTGGAAGTGTTACTAAGAACCAAAAAGAAAGTATAGGACCCATTTATCTCGGGTTCTTTTTGTGGTTACTTCTGCAGCGAAGTGAAAGTAACTTACCAGAAAGGTTGCTTGGTTGGCAAGCTCAAGGTTGCCAGAGAAGATGCGGGTCGACATCGACATGGCGTTGTTGATCAAATACACCATCACCGCCGGTCCGGCGAGTCAAAAAAGGATCTTCAATTCAATCCAATTGGCCAGCCTCATCCTCTTGAAGAATGGTAGTTGGATATCTGAAAGTACTTTTTTGAGCATCGACCTCGATTCATAGGCGGCGGTGGCAGTGGTGGACGGTGGTTCTGGTGGTTCCGAAAATGTCACTACTTTGATTGACTTCTTCCAAGCACGCAGACTCAACATTCCTGACTTGGTTATCCTCTCTGGCTATGAGAGTGTAGGTGTAATATAAGGGTACGGGGGTGAGGGACCTTAGACTACTAACGAACATATTGTGGACCTAATCCATTACTAAAAGTTGGATAGGGACCTTAGACCGATTTTCATAAATCTGTTATTGAGTGCTGATCAAAAAAAAAAAAATCTGTTATTGAGTGAATTTAAGAAAAAATAAAACAGACCCAAATATGAAACAAATGATCATTTTTGTAGACCTTACATGTGGAAACTCTTGTCTTAAATTTGTATTCATCAACCAACTATATATATTTGTATAAATTTTTACAAATATACATAGATTATCTTATAAAATTATATAAGTTTTCATAAATATATGAGAGTTATGATTTTTTAAAATTTTATAAATTAACTTATATATGTAAAAATTTATATAATTTTTAAAATAACTTACATATATTTATAAAAATTTACACAAATACATATAATATGCTATCGTACACTTCAGAATAGCCCATACAATTATACCATGCATTATAAAAATTAGGACAAATTACATATACTTTCCTCAAGATTTAGTTAAATTACAGATATTCCTGAGGTTTCGAAAATTACAGATACCTCTGGGATTTATATTTTCATAACAAATTGTTCCCTGATGTTTATATTTTCATAACAATTTGCTCCCTAATTTGTTATGCAAATAGTATCTTCAGGGGGTATCTGTAATTTTTCAAACCTCAAAGGTATCTGTAATTTTACTAAATCTCGAGGGTTATATGTAATTTGCCCTAAAAATTAAATAAATTAAAGTTATTTTTATTTAGGGCAAATTACATATACACCCCTCGAGGTTTGGTTAAATTACAGATACCCCTGAGGTTTTGGAAATTACATCCCGTCCCCTGAGGTTTGTATTTTCATAACAATTTACCCCCTGAGGTTTATATTTCATAACAAATTACCCCCTAATTTCTTATGCAAATATAGCATTCAGGGGAGAATTTGTAATTTCTCAAACCTCAGGGGTATTTGTAATTTAGTCAAACCTCGAGGGGTGTATATGTAATTTGCCCTTTTATTTATTTATATAATATTCTCTCTGTCTCTCTCTCTCTCAGTTTGCACACATCGAAAGGAAGGTATCCGACACCATCATCATCCTCAGGCTAGAGAGAGAGAGAGAGCGCATTGTGAGCTGCGAAACCTAACTAGAAGAACATGGACGACTACACTCGAGAGATGATGGACCTTAAAACCCTCGTCACTCGAACCCTAGAAAAGAAGGGCGTCCTCGCCAAGATCCGAGTTTGTTTCCCTCTTCGATCTTCTTCATTTGTCTACCAATTCCAATTTCCTGAATTTATATAATGTATGTTGATGTGTATGATAAATTGTGAGAATTTCTGTTTGGTTGAATTTTAGAACTTGTTTTTTGAAATTTGAAAAAAAAATAAAATTAGGGACTAGTTTGACAAAACTATACTCATATTTTCGAATTTATAAAAAATATTTTCACCCCAAAAAAGAGATCATTTTGAAATTGATGAGTGCTTTTCATTTTGATTTTGATTTTTCATCAAATTAGTATTTGAAATCTGTTAAAAAAATCAGATTCTAGAAACTCAACCAAACAGAATTTGGGATGTGATTTTCTAACATATTTTCCCAAACTGTTACTGGAGAGAATAGTTTGAACAATTGTAAAAATATGTTTCTTAGTTAGATTACACAGCTTAATTTTTGTGTCAACACCAACTGCGATGTTACTATAGATGATGCTGTAATTGGAAAATCATTTTATGGGTTTGATTTGTTGTTGATTTGACTTCTATTTATCCAAAAAAAAAAAAAGTTTCTTGTAATTTTAAATTTTATTAAGTTTTGAGCTTGTTATGTTAAGAGAAGGTGAAAGAGTCATTAAGCACAGTTACATGTTAGGTTTGCTACTAGTTATTTTTATTTTTATTTTTATTTTTTAATTCTTAAATCCTGTCAAGATAATCAAGGGTTTTGTACATTTTGTCTTTCACGTGTTATAATGTGATGAGTAATGAATTAAGATGACTGCAGTTAAGAAAAATGAGAAATGGAAATTTTTTTGGATGTTAAGAGCATACACTTACTGACATTGCAATATTGCTTGGAGTTTGAATGCAACATTGCTGTAGAGTGGGAGCATACTTCTCTATCTATTGCAAATCAAGTCACTTGCATTCTCAAAACAATATGAAGGGAAATATGTTGTGAGAAAATTGCATACTTGCATTGACTTGTGTGTGCGTTTTAGTGGAATGTCAACCTGAGCAAATGCTAAACATGGCCTCCTTAACTTATTCATACTGCTAATTTCTTGATATGAGAATTTAAAATCGATCCTCCTGATAATAATTTTATTCACATGCATTTTGTATTCTTGCTAGGCTGAACTCAGAGCAAGTGTATTTGAGGCAATCGAAGAAGAAGATAAGGCAGTAGAAAATGAAGACGGTTTGCCTCCTGCACTATTGGGTAGCTGCAATGACCGTGCAAAACAACTTCATGCTTCTCCTAAAGGTTCCTCTTCTATTTTCCCCCCTTCTTGTTCTCATGACTTTGGAACTGTTGGATGCTACTGCTTTATATGGGTAATTCTATTTAACAGTATAAGAATTTAGAGTCACAACAGCAAATTATAAGTGATATGATGTTATAAAGTTTCTTTTTGGTATAGTATTAGTTTAAGGGAAATATCACTTTTCAAAATTTTCTTTATTGTGATTGACAGTTAGCTCCAACATGCTACTTAAACTTCAAGTTTATAATATGGTAGTATTACTTTCTTTTTAATTATTAACAAAAAAAGCTTAAAGGAATAGTTAAATCTTAAGCTTAATATGCCATGAACCAATTTGATAATGGCATTTTTGATAGACTAAAACGTTCACAAATTTTGAAATGATTGATTGACCCACAAATTTTGTTGAAGGTGGAGTTAATTTTTAAATGCATGTTGTGCAGTGAAGAACATAGCAATTGATTTGGAGTGGTAAGTGATTATTCGCAGACAGAGCTGGCGTAATCTTTGGATATGTTTCCAAATTATGCAGCTTGTGTTTAAGATCCAGATAATAATTCTTTTCACATGTTACATTGCAAGGTTTTGACCCCACTTTAACAGAATTTTTTTTGCCTGGTTGCATTTTTACCTGTTCTAGATTTGAATCAGTTAAAATATATGAACCTTCGGAAAGATTGAGTAAGGGGACTCAAGTTAACTCCATATTTAAAATTTATCATTCTGTTGTACATAGAACCGGAGGATGTATGAGCTTGTCTTGCTGCCCTACCATCCTTAAATAAAAAAGGCTTTTGACTACTGCAGAGCCCTACAAAGTACAAACACTCAGCTGCATACTAATTTCCTTCCAAACCAATATAACTGATTCATGAGTGACATTTTGATTAAAGGAAAACTCTTTTCAGAAATTTACCTATTGGCATACTTTTCTACGTGTTTTTTAAAGACGTTAAAAATTTGACATGCATTGTTTATCCTTAGCTTTTATTCCATCTTACCTTTCTAATCTATATCTGTCGTACATTTCTTGTCTTGCACTTTTATGCACTAAATGCAGGAAAGCTGCTAACTGCACTGATATGTGAATACTTGGACTGGGCACAACTTGGCCACACACAAAAAGTTTATCTGCCGGAGTGTAATTTGGTAATCATGTACTGTCCAATAATGTTGCCAATTTTATTACAATAATTCTTATATGTGTTTTAGTCACCTTCTAATTTTTTCTTGTAATGGATTTGTATTAATTTTAACTTCAATTGCAGCAAAAGGATTCCTGGAAAGCTGAGTTAAAAGAATTTAGTAGTAACAATGGATATGATCTTAACAAGAATGGAGATAGTGCCCCTTTGCTTTTGGATGTTCTTGAAGGATTCTTGAAGTATGAGGTTTGGTATTAACTCATTTTATTATTATTATTATTATAACCCTCATTCTCGATGTTAGATTTTCTATGATAAAGTCATAAGTTAATGTGGTTTTGGCAGAGTTATCTTCTAATTTGATCAGGCTCATCTGGTGAAATTGTTTGCTCTTCTAGGCATATAAGCTTTTGAGCTTCACTACTTCCCAATTTGTATTTTTACTTTTATTGAAGTTACATTCGACACATTCACTTTTAATCACTTATTTTATACCCTTTGATTCCAAAGCTTCACTCCAAACTTCTAATTTTAACATTCATACATTCTTTATTTCATTGATTAAGACAGTATTATCAGGACTATAAGATTTCTTGAGATGCTGAATATTCATTCTTTATGGTATGAATAATTAAAATAATTAGTGATAGAATGTAAACATAACTACTTGATGGTAGTAAGAAATAGTGGTGCAGGAGTAGTGATTGTACTACTGTGTGTAGTGTTTCTAAGCTCGGTGACAGCTCGACAAGGAGTAGGGGGAGGTGGCTGGTGCATGGGAAGAAAAATATTTGGTGGGACGATGTTAAGCCACTTTTACACACACAGAGGCACAAAGGACTGAAAGCTGTGTAACAACTGAAAAGCTGTGTAACACAATGCAGCAGACTAGGAAGTTTATCTGCCAGTGTAATTTAGCTGCGGGAAATAGTTACATGTTTGGTTGTGGTTGGAGTCTGAAGGTAATGAATGGTTAGGCTTGTACCCAAATACCCTTTTAAGCACTGTGCACTGGTCCGGACTGACTTTGGGTAATGGGTGTTTTTACATGTTTCGTTAAAAGAATGGAGAGAAATATTTGGCCTACCCATCAATGAGGTAGAGGCCATATATATATATATATTATATTCCTAATACAATTTAGGAAATAATATACACAAGGAGAGATTCCACAATCAAAATAATTCTTATTCTAATTTCCATATTCAAAACATAATATTTTGCTTCCTATATTCAACACTCCTCAAGCTGGCGTAAATATATTCAACAAACGCAGCTTGTCAATAGAAGACTAGAGCACAGTTGGTCCCACAGATTTTGTGAACATATTTGTCAACTGCTGAGAAGAAGAGACAAAGGATGAACACACAATGTCAGCCCAAACTTTTTCTTGAATGAAATGTATGTCAACCTCGATATACTTGGTACCTATGAAGCACGGGTACTCCAAAAATAGTGCCGTACGAGTACCGGGTACTTACCGGGTGCGGGTACGCGTACCGGTACGGCGGTACGCGTACCGGGTACGGCAAAAGAGGGTTCGGTACGTTTGGCTTATTCGGGTGCGGCATGGGCCGTACCGTACTCGTACCCGCACCCGTGCTTCCTTGCTTGGTACGCTCATGAAGCACAGAATCAGAGGATGACATAATGGCTGATTTGTTATCATAAAATAAAGAGGAAAGAACAATCTCTTCAAAACCCAACTCTGCTAGAATAAAGCGAACCCAAAGAATCTCACATATCTTATGTGCCATAGCTCGATACTCAGCCTCTGCAGAAGATCCAAAAACAACTGTCTACTTCTTACTTTTCCATGAGATAAGAAGATCACTATAGAAAGTATAGAAGTTAGAAGTAGAATGCCGATTAGTCTTAAATCCTTCATAGTCGGCATCAATGAAACAGGAGAGCTTAGATTGGAGACTAGCTGGAAAGAACAATCCCAAGTTAGCAGAAGTTTTCAAATACCTCAAAATATGATGAACCGCGTCAAGGTGCTCTTTACGAGGTGCATGCATGAACTGACTCACAACACTAACTACAAATGTTAAGTCAGGTCTAGTGTTGGTTAAATAAATGAGGCGTCCAACAAGATGCTGATACATGCCTAAATCATCTAGTAACTCATCAGACTTTGATGTGAGCTTGACATTAGGATCCATAGGAGTAGAAGCAGGTTTACACCCTAACATACCAGTATCCTTAAGCAAGTCAAGTGTGTACTTTCTTTAAGATAAGGAGATCCCCTCCCTTGAGCAAGCCGCCTCAATTCCCAGAAAATATTTGAGACCTCCCAGATCCTTAATATAAAAAATTTGGCTCAAGTCCCTTCTTTAGTTGACCAATGCCGACAGAGTCATCACCTGTAAGAATAATATCATCCACATAAACTAACAAGACTATACGCTAACCTGCAAAATTCCGACAAATGAAACAAGTGTGATCATAGTGGCACTGAACAAAGCCCATAGATATAATAACAAAACTGAAGCGACCAAACCATACTCGTGGAGACTGTTTTAGACTATACAAGGATTTGCGTAACTGACACACTTTCCCTGAATACTCCCCTTTAGCTCGAAAATCAGGTGGAGAAGCAATGTAAATCGTCTCAAGAAGATTACCATGGAGAAACATATTCTTGACATCAAGCTGATGAAGATGTCAATAATGAGATACTGCAAAGGAGATAAGGAGATGCACAGAAGTAAGCTTGGCGACAAAGGCAAAAGTGGCACCAAAATCTTTGCTAGGAATTTGTGTGAAACCTTTGGCCATCAGGCGGGATTTGTAACGGTTAGCTGAGTCGTCAGCGAGATACTTTATGGTGAACACTCATTTGCAACCAATTGTGCTTTCCCTAGGAGGTAAAGGGATAAGATCCCAAGTGTGATTCTATTCTCAGTCTGCCCTCTTGGTCTGCTCTGATACCAAAAAGAATGGAGAGAATTATTTGGCTTACCCATCAATGAGATAAAAGTATGTGTATATGATATATTCATGATACAATTTAAGAAACAATATACACAAGGAGTGATTCTTACAATCAAAATAATTCATATTCTAATTCTTATTCTAATTTTCATATTCAAACATAATATTTTGCTTTCTATATTCAACATTGTTTGGTGGATTTTTTAATGTTTGTATATACATAAAAACACAAACGCTTTGAATAAAATAGATAATTGAAGATTTTGTATTTGTTTATATTTTACGAGTTAATTAGAATTTCATTTGTTAGTATTTGTTTACTTATAGGATTTTATTAGTTTAGTTAACCTATATATATGTGATGTAGGACGCCTTAGAAAGAAAGAGAAGAAGAAGAAGAAGAAGAAGAAGAAGAAGAAGGGGGCCACAACCCTAACACAAATGGCCACAGCCTAATATCTCAAATTCTCATTATTCAAAATTGACTATTACAATGCAAAACCTAATATTTATAGACTAGAAACCTTATTTGGTTCTATGATGTTTTGTTTTCACGTTATATATAGCTTTGTAATGACAAGCTTGAATCAATATTCTTCTTTGATAAGTAGTTCTGGTTTTGCAGAATTTATCCCAAGCGAGGGGTACAGGTAGGAGACTAATCACACCAGAAGTTGAGTCTTTGTCCAATTTAGAATCACGGAACATTAGAAGACCTTCATCATCATCTGTTGTTGGGGGTTTACCTCCACTTGGAAGGTGCTTGACTTCATTTTTATTTCTTTTTTGTCTCTCATTTTCCTTTTTCTTCTATTCATTGACATGCTTAAATTTGTCCTTGTGGTAGGCCGGTTTCGCTTTCTCAGGCATCTGGTAAGTTGTCAAGCTTTTCAGCAATTTATATACAATTTCTTCTGACTTCCAAATACTTTTAACTGATGTTTTTGTGCATTCAGATCGGAGAGGAGGATCCTCCGTTTCTGGCTACAGGAAAGATGAATACAATTGGAGATATGACAGTGATGAACTTCCAGATGATGTAATTCGTGCTTCAGCCGCTTTGGAAAACCTTCAGTTAGACAGAAAAGCTCGGAATCTAACCAGTTCTTGGAGGTTTGTTTTGCAACCCCTAAATTGAATTCTTTAGTTTCCATCCAATTGCCCAACTTCAGTTAATGCTTTCAAAAAGTGAGTATTTTGATAGTGATTGGACACCACATCAAGACATTATTTAGGGAGCCAAAGTCCCTCACTTCCTGGTGTACTTGCTTACCCAAAGCTCTAGATTTGTGGTTTGGTACATGAACAATGGGGTGGTTGGTGTTTTTTTTTTTTTAATAAAAAAATTCTTTTTTTAATGAGTTGGATCTGACTAGTTTTATCATCCTATATGTGGTCAATGTAGCGCCCTAATTCCTTTTTGTTTGACCAGTGGCGTCTCTTTGACGTACTGTTGGCATTTTGTTGAAACTTTATCTCAACTTTACCTTGGTTGGCAGGCATTCTGGGGATGGAATCACTGAGGATGATGGCAGGGTAGACCATATGTAGCTGACTGACATTTTTAAATTACTGCACTGTGTACTTTGCTGTGTATTTTATTCGTCATTCATTCATCCGATGAGTTACTTCTGTCATTCGGATTGGGGTGGTGATGTTATGTAAGATTGTTATTAGTATTGGGAAATTTGTGATTTGGCGAGTCTTATTTCATTGAGGTTGGTGTGAATTAATCTACAATTCAAGAGCACTCTTGTTGATTGGGATAATACCATAGGTAGAGTCCTGTCCACCGGGTAGCGAGTTTAGTGTTGTAATGTGTGTTTAATATATATATATATATATATAATGTTGTATGTGTGTTAGGGTCTATTATTATTACTATTCACAAACTAAAGTACTAGAGTTCCTTCTATTGATTGAATTTTTATTTTTTATTTTATTAAAAAATCAAAGGGAAAGTCTTGTGACTTGGAGGTTTGTCACTTGAGAGGGGATGATGACTTAGGTTATTGAATTTAAAAAAAGAAAAAGAAAAAGGGCGCTTGTAATCTGTTTGTTTATTCCCAAACCAAACCTGTTTTCGCAATCCAACTCTCTAGAGTTTCCAGATCACAATGATTTCTCTCTCCTCCTCTACCATCTTCGCTTCTAGAGTAACCTCTCCATCGCCATTACCGCATGATCTTGAATCTCAAATCTAAGATCTCTCTCCGATCTCAACCCACTGAGTTTAGTTGTTTGTTTGCCTCCAAGGCCGCATTGATGGCAACGTCACGAAGCTCTGTGCCTACGTGTGAGAAATTCCTCAAGAAGTGAAGCTGAATCTCTGCCAATCTGATCACCAATCTCGACAGTGATTCAGACAATGATGATGATAACAAGGATTCAAACCCATTGCTGCCTTCGGCATTGATGGTGACGGAGCGGTGAAGGCAATTTAAGGTGGTGATTGATGAGGAAGATGATGGTGAGGAGGCAGATCTGGAGTTGAAAAGTTTAATAGGAGAGGGAAATGGCAGTGGTGGTGATGAGGTTGGGGTTAGGAAGAGGACATTGGCAAGAAAGCTTGGGGATGATTTTGATCAGGTAGTGACGGAGAATGGGTTGGGGAAGAGAAAAGCAAGTCCGGTGAAGAATTTAAGTGATGGATCGGAGATGGCGGTGTCGCAGACTCAAAGCTAGAGGACTGAGGAGAGTGATGGTGGTGATGCTATCTATGGTTAAAGGTGGTTGAGGATGTGAAGAAAACGAATTCCAAGGGGAAGAAGCTGAAGCGTGTTGGAGAGAAAGAGAAAGCTAAGAGTGTTGTAGAGAGTGGTTCTCCTACTCCTATTGGTAAAACCAGACCAAAAACCCCTTCATCACTTCTTATTTGTTAATTTAATTTAATTTTATTTGGACAGATATTTGAATAAATAAAGGAAATTTGAATTGAAAAGATCAAAAAATTAAAGGAAAAAAAAGTCAACAAAAAAATTAAGAGGTAAAATTAGAAACAAATATTTTTCAAAACAAATAAAATGATTTTCCACCAAAGTATTTTTTTAAAATATGAACCTCTTACTAATAAAAAATATCTACGAGACTTAATACTTTATATCCTTCTTAAGTTGAACTTTTACGCAATTATATCAAGAAAAAGGAATTGACTTTTTTGCCTTATTTGTTTTCCCTTATTTATTTATTTTCTTTATCAGTTTCTGTCGTGTGGAAGTTTGCCTTTTTAGTTGATGGTTTTAGTTACATGTAAATTTCATTTAAGTTTCTTTCAAGTTTATAATTGAGTTTCAAAAATATTATATATTAATTATATAAAATATTTAAGTTAATAATCACAATATTTTTACTTTATCGTATTATTTTTTTTTAAAATGAGTAAGTATAACTTTTAAAAATTAAATTATTAATTTATTAGACATAAATACAATAAAACAAAAATGTTATAATTATAAATTGACTTAATTTTTGATATTTTTATATTAATTACTACATTTTTATTTATTTTTGAGAATCTAATAAATGCACCCATTTTTTGAGATTACATACTCTCAAAGAATTTTAAGTGGATGAGTGTGAAAGGATTTGTGATTGTATTTTAGAAATCACCCAAAAAAACACAGATAAGCCATGAGAACCAAAAGATTATAAATAAAGCATGAGAGCGGCTGAAATCCCCAACCCATTGAAAAGAACCCACAATGTTTCATAAAAAGCAGAAAATCAAGTACACAAAAGGTGTTTGTGTCGAACCAACACTAAAAAGCAGCCAACAAATGACCATACCATTTTCTCTTTAAAAATTAATAACATTCTTTTTCCTTCTCATTTCAGCGATAGGAAGCTTCTGATTAATCAAACTACAGTTTACATTCATAACATTTTTAACACTCTAAACAATAAGGGAGGCAGATTCCAGAATATCGGTTGCATAATCTCTTCATTGCTCCGACTCCCCTGATAAAGTATTCGACCACATTTCCTTGATCCTGAAGTGAAAATACACATCTTTCGTCTGTAGGTGTCGGTGGCCCATCACAAAATCCCCTTGTTCATTACTGTCAACTGATATTAATCACAACGAGAGGAAAAATAAAAAATAAAAATCACCATGAGACAAAACCACTTAAGAAAAAAGAACACTAATTTTTAAGAATGTTATACTATCTTAGCACAAAACATGAGACAAATTTCATTAGTTGTCAAAAGCTCTTTCTGGAATGGGTCTTCTCTGTAATATTAATCAACGAAAAAGCATATTTGACAGTAAATAAGAACCAGCTAACTATTACCCCAAAAAAGAACAACCCCTAAAACTATATTGAGTTCTGAAACTTTCCACAATTAACCAGAAAGGGGTTTATGTGGTTCTCTAAGTTAAAAAACAAAAGTGAGATAAAAAATCTGGAAAAATGTAATTCATACAGCATTATCACAACATACGTGTGCTTCACAAGAAAACTCTGAATCCAAATAATTTGACACCCAAACATCACCTTAGGGACATTACAGAAAAAAAACAAAAAAACAAAAAAAGAAATCACCTTAGAAGCTATGCTATAACATGTACTAAAAGTAAATGAGACTTGGGTGCCTTACGGGAAATGATCTAGATGTAAAAAAAATTAACAAAAATGACAACAATAAGCAGTACGACATACAAAACAATGGGTCAGTTTATGAACTCATGATCTGCATTATGCTTCATTGTTCCATAACAATAAATAAAATGGAGAGTACGATTCCAAAGCCGGCACAAATATAGATGTTATTTCACATTACAACCACTAAAGGTGTATAAATATTAATCAAAAAGTTTATTCAAAACGTGTATAATCCTGAAATTTTACAATTCATTGTGCTGTTGAGTCCCATATTGTGTCAAGCCATGTCCTTCTCAGTGCAATATAGTCAAGTGATTAGATGTTTTACAAGTTAAAATATAAAATATTACTTTTGCCCATTTTAACATATTGCTTGTTTCTTTTGACTCTATGAAGTAGTAAAATAAGATTAGTTGATATACCACAAAAACAATGCAATTCAGAAAATCACTACAATACAATGATACCTGACGTGCACATCAGCTGCCAAACCAGTCGCCAAAGGTTCTGCCGCCCTTATTTGATAACTTTCTGCAAGTACGTCCATTGTTGTAAAATAAGGGTTGTCTCTCCATGCTTGAATATATATCTTTGTGATTAAGAAAAACTAGTGAACAACCTATAAAGAAGAAATAAGTAAAAATTTCAAGTAGGCAACAAGTGAAACAACTGGATGTGCAAAAAGGAAGACGGCAAATAAAAAAAAAGGAAAAGTTTAATAGGTAACACTGTCTTACAAATTCAGTTGTTAAGGTTTGGCAGTAATGCAGAAAGTCCAGACATGATTGAAGAGCCGTTAAGAAGCAACCTCCATAAGAGAGAATTCATCAATCATAATAGTGATCTCTGGTTCCTCCAGTTAAGACACTAACCTCCACAGCTTTCTGGATTTTTTCCAACAAATCAAAGAAGCAACCTTTGCAAGTTTTTCACCATCTCCATCTGACAGTGAATCAGAAAAGTTGGATTTTGGATATTAAAATTGATCGCCTTAATTAGTTTCTTCGCATATTTCATCATATGGTCAATTGTGAATTTTTCCTTTTAGGAAACTACTTTATTCTTCAACAAGTTCAAGAAAATAAACTATACGAAATTGGATGCCTCTATTTGTCCAAACAATCCATAGCTGAAAACACAATGCAAATTTGCAAATTGTCTAAACAGAAAAACACAAGGTAGACACGTGCGTGGGTTGGAGCCTGAAACACTGTTTTGAAAATACAATCCTTGAGCTAAGATAGGCACTTTTAAATGCCCACTGATTCCTCCATTAGTTAATTTTCCAAATAGTCAAGTAATTAAGTCTAATCAGGAGTCCGACAGAAGAAAAAAAGTGGGAGAAGGTTTTAGAAGGAACCATTTTTGTGACCTGAGGCGTTCAACCTGGACATTCCAATGTAGGCATATCAAGGAAAAGGAATCTTTTGTTATCCCTTGTACAGACTAAGTTGCAACCCTGTCATGTCAACAACTTAGATATTAGAATCACAGAAATATTATTTTGCATATATTAACTGAATGTATCATTAATTTCACAAAACTTACTATGAAAATTTGAAGACCACAAACATTAATCAAAGATCAGGCGACTTTAGGACATTAATGTATATTAATTGCTGTGGAGGCCAATCAAGGTATCAAAATAATCCACAAACATATTCGAACGTTTAATGTTTTGAGATTCTTAATTGAAACATTTATTATTTAATAGGAATGCTGGCAATTTTTTCTTTGGTCACACATCAAGCACACACAACTTAATGCATTATAATTGAACAACTTTGATATAAAATAAAATTAGTTTCATATCAACTGAAGCTACAGATACACCAGAAAGCTTTACTCAACTAGTACTACACTAGAGATAGCCAATTACAAAAGTGGAAAGATCAGTACCAAAGTGAAAAATGCTAAAAAGATTAAATATTCTACATATTGCCAAGTTTTTAGGTTTCACTTTGATAGTGCTATGTCGAAGTGTAGATGAACCATTTTAACCATATAGCAGATGGAGAGCAGCATTATCCTATCAAAACTATAAGATTATAAGAATCCCACAAGAATGCAATAGAAAAAGCGTTGAAACAAGGCAGGGGCAGAGTTATCCATAGTAAAAACTATAAACAATATACCAAATATTGCATCAGTAAGCACTGTCCAAAATTGCCTTTATTCGCAACATATAAAGTGGCCTAATGAATTCACATCCCACTAATCTCACAGAATAAGATCATTGATCATTTTGCTTGCATACATAC